CAAAAAAATATTTGACTTTGCTGATCTTTGAAATGGGGTCCCCAGACTATACTTTGAGAACTGCAGATTTAATGCACATCTAAAGAAAGAAGTTAAGCTGTACAAATAATTTATATTAGGTACAATCAATACACCAAATGTAATTGATGTATGTGTATATGTTAGTATAGTAATATTTAATTTATAAATAAGCATACATATGTTGAGGTGCACGCTAGTTTTTTTTTTAACTGATAAGGTGTGAATCAGAAAAATGCGGAGAGGATCCACTATGGATTATATTCAACCCACAAGCTGTTAGTTTGAAAATTAAGTATCACAATAATTATTTCCAAATTCCACAAATCCTACCCACTGCATAAAAGCAAACTGATATGCTTTTATCATTTGGAACATAATTGTGCCCTCTCTGTGCAGGATCAATGCAATTAGATGTCATTATCATTCTGATAGGCTCTTTTTTTCTTGCTTGAGAAAGTCTCTTAATTTGGGAACAGAAAGGGGATGGGATAAGGAGACTTTAAGTGAATGTCATTGCTCTCAAATCTTCTGCCCTTTCAGGGGCTTGAAAAAACAAAACAAAAAAGTGGCTCTCCTTCTCAGCTTCTTAAATACTGTAGACATGTTTCACTTACAGGGAGAACTTCCTGTAGACAGGTTAATTCAGAAGTCACATTTCAATTACTCCGATACTATTAAAAATATCTAGTTTTTGAGTGGGCATTTACAGTATTGCAATGTCTGATGAGTATCCCAGGCAGATAAGCCTGTATTGGTTTGTAGTTTTTAGAGGGGTTTTTCCCTTATATTTTAAGTTTTTTTTCTCCCCCAATCAGGTTAAAACATGGTTTCAAAATCGGCGGGCAAAATGGAGACGCTTAAAGCAGGTAAGTGCAATGTTTCCTGCTCCTCAATCTTACTAGCTATTCCCAGATTCTTGTACTTGAGGTAGATCAGAATCATAGGGAGTGCTTAATTATTTCAGCTTGTTTAAGAGGATGAGTGGCATTCCAAAACATTACTTTTGAAAAGCTCCTGAATCACGGCACCATGTTTGCTTTTGCAAAAATTGTGGCATGTTTACCTACTGCTAGCAGTTTCCTGTGCTAAACGGTACATGCCCACTGTTCACATGCAGTTATTGAATCCTAATCAAAATAAATTCCCATGAACACATTACCTGGGTTCACACGTTACCCTAGGCCATGATGTCTTGTTTTAACCATGTATTGATAAGTGAATCATAGTTCACACAATGTGATAAGCTGAAAAATGTACTTTGCAATTAGAAGGGTTATTCATATATAGCATGGTTAATCAAAACTAAACCAAACACATTATACAATGTCAGTATGATTTCATTTTGGAATTCATACTTGAATTAAGATGCAGTTTCCTAACTTTGAAATTATCTGTCCAGTTGATTTCCCAAAGAGCAGAAGCAACCTACAATGTAATTTGTCTAATTTTGATGGATTACCTTTTACCCTTTTTTATCTTTTAACAATTCACCTTCTCTGTCATTATTTTCAAATACCAATTTAATTTACGGCGCTATAGATTTCTTAGTGTTTTCTCATACAAATATTAACAATCTAGTTCTGCTTAGATTTCTAAGATGAGCCAAGGTCAGGAAGATGTTGCTGACGTTGGTCAGCTGAACTTTTACCCTAATATCTAGCTACTATTTTTATTAAAGAGTGGAATGGTTCACTTATTTTTTTTATTTTATTAATTTATATGCCACCCATCTCACTATCAAGTGATTTTGGGTGGATTAAAATCTCATAAATTACAGGGTAACAAATTGGAATGTTAACAAAATAGAGGATTAAAAGTTAAAACATTAAAATTAACAAGGAACCAAATAAAAAGGATTCATATATAAATCGGATGGAGGTAAGATATTCTCCTAATCTGTTAAGTGCCTCCAGAATGGGACTGTCCTAAACCAGTTGGCAGAATTAGGTTTTCAGAAAATTAGATTTCCATAGTGTCCAAAGGAAGCTTGAAATGACCAATATTTTCCAAACTAGTGGTTTTTCTCACCAAATAGTCTTGATTCCGTGACCTCTGTGTTTGTTTTCAGGAGACCCCTCAACCCAACAAAAAAGAGTCAGAAAGTGGAGACAGTCTTCAGACTTCCAAACAAGAAAATTGCTTAAATCCCGAGATGGATAAGGGAGCTTCTCCACGTAGGTCACAATATACCCCTTCACCTGTCTCCCAAGAAGAGTTGGATTCGGACATCTCAGATGATTCAGATCAAGAGGTGGACATTGAGGGAGACAAAGGTTATTTCAACGGTCCCCGTCTGTAGCACTTGAAGATGGACTTTCCCTCTATTGGCACTTTAAGAGGAACTGGCTTGACAAAAACAATCAGTGCTATAAAAAAGGGGTTTTCTCTTCTCTTTCAGTTGGATGGAGAAAGAGGGAAGGAATAACAAACTTTGTAAATAATTGTCATTGAGTTTGTCGAGACAATCCATTTGATAAAGGAGTAGATCCTTTCATGACTGGAAGGGAATCCTATATTTGTGTTCCTCTATTTGTACTGGGATTGATTTTTTTATCCTACCCAGAATGCTGCATTCTCCTCCATAAATTTAAACATGAAGATCCTTAGACCACAGGAGGAAAAAAAGAACAATCACAACAGGGAACAACATGAAAAAGGAATTTTCTGATGTTGCAAGGAAAATTTTAGTTCTTGGGATGCATCTTTTTGCAGAGATGTCACAAATGTAATAGTATGCAGAATGGAACCAGACTTTTGTCATGGGAATATCCTTCATGAAAGTACATATTCCATTAAAATAACCTTCCCTGAGGTATGGAAAATAATGTATGAGACATTTATTAAATGTGTAGCAAGGTCTTAATATAAATAGTAGGAGAAGGAAAGGGGTCTTTATTTTGGGTTGATTTGAAATATGAATGGTCTAAGGAACTTGGTATTGGCCTACACTAGCCATGCTTACTATCCATGGTTGGAAGGGAGAAACTATGGTTATATGTTCACATACCATGCTTAGTCATAATATTGATTTTTGGTTTGTAGATACTAGTTTGTGTTCTGTTTTTTAATTCAACTACTGTAGCTTATTCAAGAACCCATGCCTAAAACCATGCCTTTGAATGAATTATGCATCCAGATTGTGTGAAATGATTCTACCTGTGTACAGTATCCTAGAACAAGGAAGAATCCCAAGAAGGCCTTATTCACTAAGATGTTATGTAGTTTGTTTTCTTTTAGCTTAGTGTAATCTCTAAGTCATGCTATAATGTGGTGTATGATGTAGATCATTAGAGCATGTTCAAAACCCTGGCTGGGTTCCCATTCTTTGTGGCTTAGAATCTTACATCGACACAGCCAGTGTGGTTTATATAGCAGAGTTTGCTTGTATGATTTCAGTAAACAATGGCTAAAGAATACCAAAGACCAACAGATGAGAATGAAGAAGCTTCTTGAATGAGAAGTGAAACATTTTAAAAGAAAAACGAAGTCCGGTTGCCTTTTGAAAAAGCACCTTTGGAACAACCATGATCTGGATGATTGAGAATCTCCATATACTGTACCAGAGACTAATAGACACTAACTTTGCTTTTTTCAAACTGTTACCCTCCAGATGTGTTGGGCTATAGCTTTATCTGTTCCCAAACCACTTCTGTAGCCCAATACATCTGAATGGGCACCAGATTAATGAGGGCTGCAGAGGACAGCACGGGGGAAATATTACTGTGCATCTCTGGCAGCCTTTGTCTTTACAACTAACACTATTACATGTAAATATAAGCCCCATTAATTCAGTGGGATTTATGTCCCAAATGTATATAAAATTGAATATTATTTTTAAAAATATTCAGTATATCATTTATTTTAATACTTTTTAAAAATGTTATATGTATGAGTATATATATGCATATGTATGCTCTTAAAGATGGGGACTAAAACAAAACTAATGGATTTGGTTACTTGCTCTTTATGTTCTGCTAACTACTTTTATACAAGGATCTGTTATGTTTAAGTAAAGCTTGCCTGCACATTACGTTCCGAGAGTCCAGAGAAGCCATGTACTTATCAGGCTAAGAAACGCCTACATAAAAACTTTAATGAGATTGTCTTTCTAAATGTGATAGTCTATTGCCTTTCTTCTGCATCTATTTGCTCTGCATTTTAAACAGCCTGGCTAAAAAAAACCAAGGCATCCTCAGTTTGATCTTCATCTTGCTAACTGCACCCATGAAGGTTCCTAGGTAATGTTACTGAAATAGTTAGACTCTCCCTTCTTCTGGAATGATTTTTCAATTTCTGCCCAATAGGGATGGATTTCCAAGTAGGCCGCAAGCAAAATCCTTACCCAGTTGAAGATTATGAAACTATTATGAGATGCTGAAGAGAAATTTTCAGGAAATGAATTTAGGGTTTGTCGTATACCAAGTGATGCTGCTAAGCCATGAAACATGATCTACAGTATACAGTGATTATGTATACAGTGATACAGTATACAGTAATTATGCAGATGAATTCTGGCATCTTGAATTGAGGGGACTGCAAAATGATTGCATATGGCCCTGGAACCGGAGTTTGCTGACTTAGTGAGATGTGTGAAACACAGTTTGTAAAGCATGTTTCTATCGCCAAGAAAAACCTGCATCCTGGAAGTGGCCACCCCATGGTTCACTCCATATGGGGGCCTAACACTCTTTGTAGCCTCCCAATGTCTTGAGATTGCCCTGCTGAAATATGATGGCAGATTGGAGTTTTCAGTGGTACAATTTTTCCTTCTCCAAAATACAGGATGAGTAGGAAGCAAACTTGTTAAAAAGTTCCAATCTATTAAACATTCTGAAATTGTGCTCTAAAATTAAATTATTTTGCTGCCAAATTTGGGTGACATAGTTTTGAGGAAGTGAGGGTAGCAGAAGCTAGAAAGAAGATTTCTAGAGGCAGTTTGGTCTAGTGGTTAAGATACAGTACCAGGTTAGAAAGAAAGCCAGCATGGATATGCTTGTTGCCTTGAGTTGTTTGTAAAAATAATAAAGGCAGGATATAAATAAATGAATTAAAACAATAGAACTAAGAATACATTGGCTTCTAGAGGCTGCCGTTCCTATCCTTATTGCCCCCCACACCACCAATTGGATAAAAACACCCCATTCTTTTGTCTTAAGAGCAAGAATAGTTTGATTTTCATATTTCTCTGTTCAATATTCCCACCTTTAAACAACCTAACAATCAAAATGGGTTGAAAAAAAATAATATCGTTACTGGTCAATGTCCTGCAAGCTTCCAAAATGTTGAGCTGTTGAAAGTGTATCATTGCCTGCTGCTGATTGATGGCTTAACTCAGGAGTACACATCCTCCCTCTCCCAAATATTACAGCTGCCTAATAGAGCTGTAAAAAAATCAGTCTTATTTTATGATAGCTGGGGATATCTGTAGCTCAGGATTGAACTGTGGGATCCTTGGTGTTCTCTGGGCTTGGTGCTTTTCCTTTCCTAGTTTCATTATCAAATTAAGTAACATCAGTGCTAGAAGGGAGTGGAGAGGGTTGCCTGTTACATGAAAAAAAAATCTACTTCTGTTGTGTCTTTGTGCCTGTTGTACAGTAAATAAAATAATAGAAGGGGATCTATCATAATCTAGTTTGCAGAACGTAAGGTATGGGCAAGAAGCCAAGGTTCCTGTGCACACTGCCATATTCTCTCCTCTCTGGCGACCCCTAGGTTTATCGGAGGCCATGTGTGTTCAGATTTGGAGAGGTCACAATTGTTGGTCTGGAAGAACTGGAATTGGAAATAAAGTTCAGATTCTAATTTCTGCAAACCAAGAATGTGTTGATTAATGAAAGATGAATTAAATCTTGCAACTGTGGGCACTTGCAGGTGGCAAGGGACTTTGCATGCATCACAATCTCATCAGACAAATGATGTAGAAGACATAATTCAAATCATTTGCTCAAAGATGTGCTCTCTATGATATCAAGACTTCTGACCACCCGGGCTTTCATCTTAAAGGGCCACTTGCAATAGGGAGTAATATTACAATGCATTTACTCCCTTAACTTGCTACAGAAATTTAGTTATATGACCATAGCCAAAGAGTAGGATGATAGATACTGTGTTTTTATTTTTCCTGGTGCTATTTTTGTTGTGTAATTGTTTCATTTTTTATGTTTAACCACAGAAAAGTATAATATCAGAGATTTTTGGATTTACTTGTGAAATAAAACTGGGCCAGTGCCCACCCCAGGCAGTTAGTAATATGGTTTAAATAACCAGCCACATATTTCATTGAATATTTGTAATAGATTATTTCCAAATATATTTAAAAGAAAGTATGTGTTACTGTCCTTATGTGTAGCAGAAATCCTGGCAAGTTTCTTGTCCTTCTAGTTTGACTCCTTATAAGTACTAAATGATAATATAGAGATAGCAAACTTTGGGCTCGGTAAATCAACATTCTTCAATTTTGTGTGATTGTATGTATGTATGTATCTGTGCGCACATGCATTTAAATCAGAGTTGACTCTTAGTGACTGGCTGAATTAGTCCTTGCAGTTTTCTCAGCAACATTTTATAAAGTGGTTTGCCCACTTTTCATTCTTAGAGCAGATAGAGTGGTTTTCATTGTTCTATTCTTAGGGCAGATAGAGAGTGCCTGGCTCAAAGGTATCCAGATTGCTTCATGCAAGGCAGAACTAGAACTCAGCTCTTCCAGTTTCTTCTGGTACTTTTAACCAGCTCGCCAAACAGGCTCTCATCCTTAATTCAGTGGTACAAGAATCTTATTGAGTTTAGCATTTAACATTGTTTTAAGTACATGTTTTCAAAAGTTTGTAAGAAGACCATTTTTTTCACTGAAACACTACATTATTTGGGAGAAAACCTTAAGAAAGGGGACTTGCATGACAGATGTTACAATGTCAAAGATTTAACTGGAAATGTACGGATTTCCTGTGAATGGCTGTAGGAAGGGAGCAAGAAACATCCAAGATAGTCTTTGTCGACTTAGTGCTCCACAAAAATGTTGGATAACCAGCTTCCTGATTTTTAGACTCAGTGACAAGGGATTATGGGACTTGCCCTAGATAAGGACATGTCTGTTAGAAAGGTGGTGCTTTTCTGGAAAAGTTACTTTTAAAAAAATAAACTTTATTAGCCTTTTATATCTTTAAAAATCGAACAAAAAATATACATATTATGACATTAACAGTATGTGACATCTATCTCATAAACTTCTATTTGGTGCTTATTTACAAATATATACAATTAATCAATGTAAACCTTTGATCTATAGGTTGCTTATCATTAATTCTTTCATCAACCATTTGTCTTAATTCAATTCAATCCAATCATACCATTTTTCCCAAATTCTATAATATTCAGAGTCCTTTTTCTCTCATAACATCAGGGTTAATTTATCCATCTCAGCACACACCATTATTTTTTGAATGATCAATTGGTCTGATGGTATATAATTGTGCTTCCAACATTGAGCATAGGCAATTCTAGCAGCCATTAAAATGTGTAATATTATATATTTTATATTTTTCCCACATTTCTTTTTAAATATCCCTTAGAAGAATAATTCTGGTTCCAATTCTATTTGTTCCTTAAGGACCATTTTTTAAATTTTAAGCCAGTACTTCTGGGCTTCTGAACAAGACCACCACATATGATAAAAATTACCCTCTTTCTTGTACTTCCAAAATGCTGGATTCATGTTGGGATACATCTTTGCCAATCTCGCAGGAGGCAGGTACCATCTATAAAACATCTTATATATGTTCTCTTTATATGGGGCTGATTTTGTTAATTTACAATTTAGGTGCCAAATATTCTCCCACTCGGTCAAATTTATATTGTGTCCAATGTTTTGAGCCCAGGCTATCATACATCCCTTAATCACCTCTTCTTCCAGTTCTACATCTAACAGATATTTATAGATTTTTGTGATATGTTTTTTATCTGGACCTGTTAGAATTTTATCCAATTGTTGTAGTTCCAAATATATTCAGAAATCTTCTATGTCTTTTTTGTACCAGTTTTGGAGCTGAAGATATGCCCATCAGTCGATGTGTATCCCTTGTTTTGAAGGTCCTGGATCGATTTTAAGTTTCCTTGTACGTCTAAAACATCTCTATATTTTGTCATTTTACATAAGTCTAAATTGTATCATAGCTTCCATTGTAGATAGCCAAATTGGAATTTTCATATAATGTTTTTAATTTTAATCCAATTTTGTAGTTGGGAATCTCTAATCAAATGCTGGTGAAAATATTGTTGTTTTTTAGTTCCTGTTTCCCACAAAAAGGCATGCCATCCTCTTTGCAGGTCATGGCCCTCTAAACTTAATATTTGCTTATTAGTTAGATTAACCCGTTCTTTAATCCAGATTAACATAGTCGCATTGTAGTATAATTCCCAATTTGGAAGTCCAAGTCCCCCTCTGCTTTTAATATCTTGTAGTGCTTTCATCTTTATTCTAGGTTTTTTGTCTAACCAAATAAATTTTGCCATAAGTTTATTAATCTCACTAAAAAAAAAATCTCTAATGGGGATCATCTGAAATAAATACAGGAATTTGGATAAGATGGACATTTTAATGGCTGCTATTCTTCCTAACAGTGATAATTGTAATTTAGCCCATAAGTCTCTTCGTTTGTTGTATGAGTTATAATTATTCTCCTTTATTGTTATACTTTGAGCAGTCCCAAATCCTGGAAAAGTTACTTTTACTGTATGAAACAGCCTCTCAAAAATCATAGTTAGCAATGCAGGACCATTCAGGAGTAAAGGTCCTTAACAAACAATTTTGTTTTAGTGACTGTTTGAAGTTACAATGGTACTGGAAAAAAAAAGGACGACTATCACAACATCCCTATAATTTATGTGCTTGGCAACTAGCATGTATTTATGATGGTTGCAGCATCCCAGGGTCACATGACCATCATTTTGTGACTTTTTCAGGTGGCTTCCAACAAAGTCAATGGGAGAACCCAGATTAATTTAAGGACTACACGATTCACTTAACAGTTGCAGAGATTCCCTTAATGACCATGGCAAAAAAAAAAGAGGTCAAAATCAGGTGTGATTCTGTCAGGGAGTTGTGCAGCAAGCGTCCACGTGAAGTCAGAGACACTGACACTAGCTTATCATTTTATATAAATAAATATATTTAACATTTATATTTGCAGCAGACAAGATAGGAACATCATGAGGTAAATCGAAACAGCATACAGAGCGCATAGAAGAAAAAAGGGGGGGAGAGGGAAACTCCCCCTTCAGATCCAAAGCAACCAATCACAGTGTAGATTGCCTCATGCATGAGCTAGCCCTCTCCAATCAATCAACTACAATTGAGTGTTCTGGCCTATTGTACACTTTAGTGTTCCAGCTACTAAATTTAACATCCTAATTTAATTCACTTGATTTCTTTGCTTAGCAATGGAAATTCTGGTCCCAATTTGGTAGTAAACTAAGGACAACCTGTAAACTTGACAGAGATCTGTGGGATGCATTTCCAACTGAGGCTATGTAAAGATGCACTCTTGGAATGGCTCGTATGATTTATGACACCCGACACTCTCCCTGTTCATTATTGGGACTGCAATCCCAACCTCATTCTTATGCCAGATTTATTTTTTTAATGTATTCAGCCCAACAAACGAGACAAAACAGCACCGTACTCCTCTCATGCTTCATGGGCAGCTAAGCACTCCTATTGCAGGCAGTTCTTGTCTTGCTCACATCTCTGCTCTGAACTTCCACGATGATGACTTGTTCAAGAGGTGGTTTTAATGCATTTAATTATGCTAAGAGTTGACTTTCCACTGCTCTGCTTTCTTCAGATTGGGATTTTCCCCCTCCAAAATACATGAGGTATAAAAGGGGAACATTTTTAATAGCTTGTTTTATATTCTGCTTGTGAAAAAGGGAGAAAAAATTAGTGGGATTTTTTTTTTTTTTTGTAGGAACAATATGCCAGGACTTAAGGAGACAAGGTCATTTATCAGCCAGTTTAAAAGGATAGTAAGTGATCCTTGATTGGCTGAGAGTTGAATGTGTTCAAATATTAGCCAAAAAGCAGCTGAGAGTTCTCTTCAAGCTCTAGACCAGTGGTAGTCAACCTGGTCCCTACCACCCACTAATGGACGTTCCAGCTTTCATGGTGGGCGGTAGGGGTTTTGTCCCCTACTTTATAAATCACCATTGCTGTGGAACCGGTGGGCGGTTAGAAAATTTTACTACTAACAGAGATACAAAAGGGGGTGGTAGGTATAAAAAGGTTGACCACCCCTGCTCTAGACTCATAACATATAAATACACAGCCATGCTTACATTATTATGATGTTCTATAGGTATAGAAAGGGTCAAAGCAAATTGAATCCATGTTTTAAATTGAAAAGAGTTAAAAGATCAACAGTCTGTTCAAACGGTTCACCCCCCAGGAATTGGCAAAGCCACATGTGGGAGTGTCCAGACCCGTAGCTTTTGCATAACAAAGCTGTTCCTTGTTTTCTTCATTTTTACTCAGGGTGGCAGGAAATATGAGGAAATTGCTAATATAAGAAACTGGCATTCAGTTTCCAAGCCAAATTCCATGTATATGGTAATACATTTTCACAGTAGAAAACCTGTTTGGAAACAGCCTCCCCCCCCCCCCCCCCCCGCCACTTTCTGATGAGTATTTTTGCAGTTCTTGGTAATAGTGATTTATCATTTCCAAGCACAGTAAGTAATATTAGCATTCATTAGCATTTCCTCCTGCCTTCCTCAGAAAAAGTGTTGTGGAGAAGAAAGAAACCTATCGTTTGAAAATTGTTATTTTTTGCTTTAGATAGGGTTGCGGATTGAAGGGCCCTTTAAGGGCAGGGGGCTGGAAGAAACCCGAGAGGTTTTCAATCCAATCCCTCTGATGGAGTTTTATATCATCCCAGCCAAATGGTTGTCCAGTCTATTTTTGAAAACCACCAGTGATGAAGCACCCACAACCCCAAGATTGCATTGATTAATTAGATGGTGAGTTCTTT